ACCTCCGAACTTCCCGTAATGTGAATGTTCTCTGCGTCAAATTTTGACGAGAAAACGTGTGATGCTTTTCTTGTTTGGACCTAGTCGAGTTGCACATTGCAGTGTAGTACGAGGCCGGTTGGAATGAGTTGGAAATTCTAAACGCTCTTTGCGCTTTTAATGGTATTTCTTTCGTTTTTTTATCCAAACTATGGAATTATACGTTAAAATTTTCGGGACTATACATTCTACATGGTAACGATGAGAGAATTCATAAAAATCGGTTCCCAATCTTAAAATTTAATGATTACGGGGGAAAATGTCATTTTTCGGGAGATGCTCCAGAGGCGCGCTCTCTTGGATTAAAGGAAGAACCTTTCGGGTAGAGAATGCCTCTGATTCCGAAAAAATGCCTGCCAGTTAGGCCAAAATATCAACAGGGGTCATGAAACAGTTACCCTCTATCGGTAGCACGCGCATCCACTCATTTTCGCATGCTGCAATTAGCAGGGTGGCGAGGAGTGAAGCGTGGATGACGAGGGTGAGCGCGGGTCAGTCCTTCCCGGAATCGAACCCCATCCCCGAGACGATGAGCGAGGATGCTCCAAAAAGCATTCTATTCCACGGCGTGTAGTTGCTCAAAAAGAAGGTAAAACACGCTATATGCAGAAGCTATTTCGATTCTAAATAGTATGCAGAAAAGAACCTTTTGCTACAAGGGCAGTTTTCCGATCTTCGATAATGGAAAAGAATCGCATCGGTCCGCATCGGATCGGTCGAGGGTGATTTTCCGAAAATTTTCCAATTTCCCGAATCAGACCCTAATCTACAGTATCCGATACCGACCCATACTGCAGGATACGGTCTCTCGAAACCGAAAATTTTTACAAGTCCGAAAATCCGAATTTTTTGCACAATCTGACAACATTGTATCGAAAAATCACCTAATTTCTTGCCCCATCTGGCAACACTGTAAAATGCGATGTTGCAAAATTTCACCAATAAATAAATCATTTTTTTACGTGCCCCGTTCGGCAACACTGCTGCGCCATCTTGAAAAATACACCATTGCATAACCCGCAAAATGAAGGGGCATTAAAACACGATTGCATAACCCGCATATTGAAGGGGCAACATGCAATACTTTCTTTTTACAGCGTTGCCATATTGTACAATAATCCCTATACAACGCTGTAATTTAATTCATATTTTTCTGCACAATTTGGCTAAAAACTTTTGCGCTTAAATCCCCATTTTCTCCCTACGAAGAATTTAGATTTCACAGAGCCTAACTATGAAATTGCGCTGACAGCATTGACAGAACGTTATGAAGACAAGCATATAACCATAATAAGGCAAGTGGAAATCCTTATGAATATGAGCATGACCACAGTCTGTAAATGCAAGAAGTCAACAAAATTGACTGCAAAGGATTTGGAGTCCATGTACAACTGTGTAAATCAAACCATACAAACTTTACGAGCTATGGAAGTGAATACTGATAGTTGGGACCCCATAATATGCCATGCAGTCACTTCAAGATTTGATGAAAGTACAATTACAGCATGGGGCAACAAGATGAAACCTAAAACTACTCCAACAAAACAGCAAATATTAGCATTCTTGGACAAAAGAAGGAGAGTTCTAGAATCACTGGAGAGCTCAAAGAATAAGGATTCTGAGTCGAGTGGTTTTAGGTTTGAATCAAAAAACGAACGCAAAAAAGTTGAAGTAAAGAGGAAGGCTCCTCACCAAACAATTCGTGGATTTGTGCAGCATCAAAAGAACATATCGAACATTAAAAAGTGCATCTACTGCTCCGGGAGCCATTACATAAGTTCTTGCCTTAATTTTCGGAAGTTGACCCTGCCTGATAGGTACACGATTATCAAATCGGAAAATCTCTGTCATTCATGCATGAGGCCAAAACATTCCAACGGTGAGCAGTGCAAAGGCTATCCTTGTAAAACTTGTGGAAAAAATCATCATATCGCGCTTCATCAAGACAAAGAAATGTTTGGACACGTTGGGAAGGAGTCAAGCTCGGGTGCTCGTACCTCCGGCATATGACTAGCAACGGTACAATTAGAAGTATTGAACAAGTTTGGAAAATTAATCAGTGCTCGAGCATTGCTGGACTGTGGGGCACAGTCAAATTTTGTCTCAGAACAGCTTGTGAACGAGTTACAAAATGCTACTGACAATGTGCAATGCACCGTATCAGGCATTGGTTCAGCCTTTGTGTCAAAAATAGAATTCTGCGCTGTTCAAAATAAGTGTCTTCAAAAGAAGCACTTTCTTGTTATAAACAGTTTACCAATTTCGTTGCCCAAAGTGGATGTCAATCCATGTATAAAGTCCGCTATTTTAGATGAGCCCTTAGCAGACCCAACCTGCTTCTCGAATAACAAAATCCATATAATTTTGGTCGAAAACTTGCCTTGGAAAATTTTAAAATCTGGACGGAAGATGTTCCCAGAGTCAAAAATATTGCTTCAAGAAACAACTTTAGGATGGATTGTGGTAAATTATAATGATACTAAGAACATGTTTGACGTTGATGGGCCTCAAGTACTTGCGTTTTCGAAGGTAAAGGAAGTATACTTTGATCTACGGCAATTCTGGGAAGTAGAAGAATGCAAGCTTCCTGAAAACATTGGGACGCATGTCTGCGAAATTTTATTTGCTGAGACGACGTACACAAATCCTGATAATTATTTTGTTGTGAAGCTTCCCATCAAAGAGGATCCTAAAGTTCTTGGGAATTCTAAACGTTTAGCGTTGAAGCGCCTGTTTGCGATGGAGAAAAAACTAAATAACAATGATAAACTAAAAACCATGTATACAGAATTCATGAGAGAATACCAAGCATTGGGACATATGAGTGAAGTGTCACACGAAAATGAGCATGCCCCATCAAAACTATAAGATATTTTACACGTTGGGCCTACAATTCAAGACACGCTTTTTGATATTATTTTAAGATTCAGAGAATATCCGTTTACTATATACCTCACCTAGGAGTGTTAAGAGAGAACAGCTTGACCACGAAACTACGGGTAGTATTCAACGCGTCAGCAAAGAGCAGTTCAGGAAAAAGTTTGAATGATATTTTACACGTTGGGCCTACAATTCAAGACACGCTTTTTGATATTATTTTAAGATTCAGAGAATATCCGTTTGTAATAACAGCAGACATAACGAAAATGTATAGAATGATATTAATCGCACCTGAAGATAGAAGCTTGCAAAGAATATTATGGAGAGAAAATCCTAACGATTCAGTTAAGGTTTTTGAGTTGAACACTGTAACGTACGGTACAGGTCCTGCTCCTTTCCTCGCTATCAGGGCATTGCAAGAATCAGCAAATATTCAAGAAGAGAACTTGCCCATAGGAGCTTATCATGTCAAAAAATCGTTTTATGTTGACGATTTTTTGGGGAGAGCAGATACGGTAGAAGAAGCAAGACAAGTTAAGAAAGAAGTTGAAGCAGTCACATCCTCAAATAATTTCCTTTTAAGAAAATGGGCGTCTAATGACTCCACAATTCTGAAGACAGGAGCTCAGCAAACCGAGCCTTTATATTTCAACGACAACAGAGATATTAAAGTGTTTGGATTAGAGTGGCATCCGGCAACAGACATTTTCTGTTTCTCAGCAAGACACAAAGCAACTAGTGTGGTCACTAAGCGAATAATATTATCTGAAATCTCCAAATTATTCGATCCACTAGGAATAGTCGGCTCAATACTGGTAAGAGCGAAAATGCTGATTCAAGATTTATGGAAACTAAAACTAACTTGGGATGAACCTGTACCTGATGTTATTAAAAAGAAATGGATGGAACTAGCAGACGATCTAGCGATGTTAACAGAATTTTCAGTTCCAAGACATGTGCAAATCTCCAGGAGAACGAAAAAATTAGTATTTCATGGATTTGGTGATGCGTCCAAAGGAGCATATGGAGCATGCATTTATGTTGTAAGTTACAACGCTGATTCGCCAACATCTATATTACTCTGTTCAAAATCACGAGTTGCCTCTTTGAAGTTGCTGACGATACCTCGATTAGAGCTATTAGCAGCACTTTTATTGGCAAGATTAATGAAAAGAGTGTTGTCGGCTGTAAACAATCATCCGCATGAAATTTTCTTATGGTCAGATTCTATGGATGTTCTGTATTGGTTGCAAAAACCGCCAGACACCTGGCATACGTTCGTGGCCAATCGTGTCTCAGAAATCCAAGCCTTTACATCTGAAGTACATGCATCCTGGAAATATGTTCCAACCAAAGAAAATCCAGCTGATCTAATATCAAGAGGTGTTTCTTCAGCGATGCTTAAAAAGTCTGATCTATGGAAGTCAGGCCCACACTGGCTTACGAGTGATTCAAGGTTTTGGCCTAAGCAGTCCATAAATCCTCCATCAAATGGTCAAAGCGAAGAGAAAGTTGTACGAGTCTTTCTTGGAATTCAGTCATTTTTCTCAAGTTTAAATGTCTTGCTGGATAGAGTCTCTTCACTGTCAAAGCTGTTGCGAATAGTGGCATATGTTTTAAGATTTGTCAATAATGTTGGTCGAAAAAATACAAAAAATACATCTCAGATATTATTACCAGAGGAATTGGATAACGCTCAAGATGTATGTACAAAATCAATTCAGCATCAAGTTTTCAATCAAGATATAGTGCGGGGGCATACGTAATCCCGTGTGCAGATTCGTGAAGGCATATTGTGTGATACATCAATCTCTTCGTTTTGATGTCTAGAAAAAGAAAATCGATGATGGCCATCTCAAATTTCATACAAACCCCCCCAAATTCAAGATGGCGGCCAAAATGGCGGTTTTGGGGTGAAAAAATTTAAAGTTTGCAAATACGTCGTGTCTGGTGTCGATTCTTATGTATTTTTGATCGTAGAATCCGAATTATCAGTCAAAAGTTAGCCCAAAGGTCATTTTTAGGCCAAAATCCAAGATGGCGTCCTCTTACAGGTACTAATTTGCCTATTCGGGTCTACATGCATTGTGAGGTATCAATCATTAGGTTTTCAGGGTCGTAGAGTCCGAAAATGAGGTCCATTTTCCGCTGCGGCTCTCAAGAAGCCCTAATATCAAAGATGGCGCCCAAAATGGCCACCGGTCTTGCGGATGAAACTGCCGTTCAGGGCAGCTATAACAAACAATACGTTCAAAATTAAGTTTCTTGGGTCAAGAAGTTCGAATAGGAGATCAGATGTTTACTCCTACAAAAAATTAAGCCTCCGAATCGAAAATGGCTGCCGACATTGTTGCCAGTTAGAGGCGCAGACTGGTGAATGACCGATATTAAGGGATTTGCCGAAGGAGGGGTTTCGATAAGGGCCGTTGTTGGGCCCATACCCTGAAATTCTCCGATTCTACGATTGTTTGCTCATTTAAAGTCTAAAGTTTGCGGAATGTATCATGATTTGGTCATTTTCGGTCCATCTAGGGGTCTAATACTGGCCTAAACATGAGACTAAAGGCCGATTTTGGCGAAAAATGCGGTTTTTTTTACATTCGGCGTGACACTATTTCATAACGATCCCATCATCGGAGGAGATTATTGTCCTTCAAGTACGTTCATTAAGGATGTAAGATAGTCACTTTAGCCAATTTTCGTTGATGGCAAACCTTGCGCTCGGAGTTAAAACGATCTTCTTAGAATTTTCTTGTTTTTCATCATTATTTAAAATGGCATAAAAAGGGCGACTCATCTTAAACCAGAAATATATTCCTTGGTGGAAAATGTACGCAGCTGGTCATAACTTTCCTCCAAGAAATTAATGGATTAAAGCCTCCCCCCCCCAAAAAAAAAAAACCTGTGTTGCCATATTTTATTGCTTAACATCACAGAAAACCGCGTAATTATTTCAGTATTTGAGGCTGTTCTTCGTAGAGTACATTCAGCAAAGCTCAAAACCCTTGATTCTTCATACGTTACGATCACATGATTAGTGATCATATAAATGCACGTATCCATCATTATTTTTTTTAATACATGTATGTATCTATGGAGACTCCCATCGTGGGGCGGCATTCCCACATATCATCGGTAAAAATTGAGAAAAATGCAACATTGAAACGAAAATGAGAGTTCTGCTATCATCGCGCTGAGAATGTTAGCCTTATCCAAAACTAAAAATTCATTGCTAGAAAAAGTGTAATATTGGTTAAAAGGCAAAACGACATAGAACATAGTCATATCCGGGTGGTATTACCTGCGCAAAGTGGGCAATAGAGTCGTCATCTGCTGAGCTCATATTGCATCTCTCATTTGCTGCCTCACTCATCACAGACATAAGTCTGAGCCAGAAAAACTAAGCGTTTGCTAGATTAACATGCATACGTCATTTCTCCAAAATTATGAAATGGCAGCTCCAAACAAGAGGTTTTATGCAGGAGACAGGGGACCTGATGAAGAGGCAACTGATGAGGAAGCGGTGGGGTGGCTGGGCAGGGGTGAGGGAAACCAGGGTTTCAAATTATTTTTAGGAGGCAGAATTCTGATCGATCGCAGGCAATAAGATTGGCGGGGGCAGGGATTGTCAGGGTGGTGAAAAATCAGCATTAAGTACTCGTGATTCTGACACATGGCTTACTTTTTTTCGGATCTCAGATCCCGGTCAATATGATTCAAAGATGCACCTTCGTGCGTAAATATCGTCTACAAAATTCGTAAGATAATGGGCCACCTACAAGCCCAAAATTTTAAAGCAATTATCACTAACACAAAATATAATCTACTTGCATCTCTGAATACTGTAATTCGAGTCTCACATATTTATTTCAGAATGCGCATATTCAGAGAAAGTGGCTGAAATCCTCGGCCAACTCGGATTTTGCTCGATTTTTACCGATGATATGTGCAAATGCCGCGACACGATGGGAGTGTCTATAGATACACACATGTAAGAAACAAAATAATGATGGATAATTGAGATTTTGCATGTGTGAGGAATTTGCGATTAGACTGTTGATTCTTACGTGAAAGTTCGGGAGAAACACGATGGTGCCACTGGTTTCCTCTTAAATCAACTCCCAAGCTCAAAAAAGGCTCTCAAGCTGAGGCCAAAATGGAGGGGATATCCCACGCTATCCTGAGAGTCCGCTTCTACATCAAGACAAACTCTCCATGTAAAGATAGGGAGCAAATACATTAGCAGGGTACCCGTATGTTTTCAGTTTTGAAGTCACCAAATAAAGTGGTAGCCCTGTCAATGTATTTGCTTGCAATGTATGAGCTTTTTTTTGAGCTTGGAAGTTGATTTCAGAGATAGCCATTGGCACCATCGTGTTTCTCGCGAACTTTTACATAAAATCAATAGTCAAATTGCAAATTCCTCACACATGCAACATCTCCATTGTATTTATATAATCACTAATCATGTTTCAATGTTGCATTTTTCTCAATTTTTACCGATGATATGTGGGAATGCCGCCCCACGATGGGAGTCTCCATAGATACATACATGTATTAAAAAAAATAATGATGGATACGTGCATTTATATGATCACTAATCATGTGATCGTAACGTATGAAGAATCAAGGGTTTTGAGCTTTGCTGAATGTACTCTACGAAGAACAGCCTCAAATACTGAAATAATTACGCGGTTTTCTGTGATGTTAAGCAATAAAATATGGCAACACAGGTTTTTTTTTGGGGGGGGGAGGCTTTAATCCATTAATTTCTTGGAGGAAAGTTATGACCAGCTGCGTACATTTTCCACCAAGGAATATATTTCTGGTTTAAGATGAGTCGCCCTTTTTATGCCATTTTAAATAATGATGAAAAACAAGAAAATTCTAAGAAGATCGTTTTAACTCCGAGCGCAAGGTTTGCCATCAACGAAAATTGGCTAAAGTGACTATCTTACATCCTTAATGAACGTACTTGAAGGACAATAATCTCCTCCGATGATGGGATCGTTATGAAATAGTGTCACGCCGAATGTAAAAAAAACCGCATTTTTCGCCAAAATCGGCCTTTAGTCTCATGTTTAGGCCAGTACTAGACCCCTAGATGGACCGAAAATGACCAAATCATGATACATTCCGCAAACTTTAGACTTTAAATGAGCAAACAATCGTAGAATTGAAGAATTTCAGGGTATGGGCCCAACAACGGCCCTTATCGAAACCCCTCCTTCGGCAAATCCCTTAATATCAGTCATTTACCGGTCTGCGCCTCTAACTGGCAACAATGTTGGCAGCCATTTTCGATTCGGAGGCTTAATTTTTTGTAGGAGTAAACATCTGATCTCCTATTCGAACTTATTGACCCAAGAAACTTAAATTTGAACGTATTGTTTGTTATAGCTGCCCTAAATGGCAGTTTCATCCGCAAGACCGGTGGCCATTTTGGGCGCCATCTTTGATATTAGGGCTTCTTGAGAGCCGCAGCGGAAAATGGACCTCATTTTCGGACTCTACGACCCTGAAAACCTAATGATTGATACCTCACAATGCATGTAGACCCGAATAGGCAAATTAGTACCTGTAAGAGGTATTTTTGGACGCCATCTTGGATTTTGGCCTAAAAATGACCTTTGGGCTAACTTTTGACTGATAATTCGGATTCTACGATCAAAAATACATAAGAATCGACACCAGACACGACGTATTTGCAAACTTTAAATTTTTTCACCCCAAAACCGCCATTTTGGCCGCCATCTTGAATTTGGGGGGGTTTGTATGAAATTTGAGATGGCCATCATCGATTTTCTTTTTCTAGACATCAAAACGAAGAGATTGATGTATCACACAATATGCCTTCACGAATCTGCACACGGGACATATGTTTTGTTACGTATGCCCCCGCACTAATATCCATGATTTAATGAGCCCACAAGGTGAACTGAGGGGTTCAAGCAGCATAAAAACTTTAAATCCGTTTATGGACTCTAAAGGACTCCTGAGAGTTGGAGGAAGATTGAAGAACTCTAATCTGCCACTAGGAGAAAAACATCCTGTTCTATTGCCAGCACATCATAAATTAACGGAACTTATAATTCGTGAAAAACACGAACGATTAGGTCACGCTGCGCCTCAAGCGTTATTAGCAAGTGTTAGACAGAGTTTCTGGCCGTTACAAGGGAAGCGAATGGCACAAAAAATTGCCGCAAGATGCATGACCTGTATAAGGGCTAAACCCAAGCTGTCCTCCCAAATGATAGGTCAATTGCCTTTAGAAAGAGTGGTTCCTGCGCCAGCGTTTACATCAGGAGGTATCGATTTTGCTGGGCCAATTAAGTTAAGATCGTCACGTACTGCTAAAACGTCAAACAAAAAGGCATATCTGACACTGTTCGTCTGTTTTGTTACAAAAGCAGTGCACTTAGAACTTTGTCCTGACCTATCCGCTGCAGGTTTTATAGATACGTTCAAAAGATTTATCTCCAGAAGAGGAATACCCAGTCTTGTGTTCTCCGACAATGCTAAAACCTTCGTTGCAGCTGATTCTCACGTGCAAAGTTGTTTTGATCAATTTTTCAAAGATTCAAGGGTATTGAACTATCTAGCTGTAGAGCGCATATAAAATGGAGGTTTTCGCCACCATACTCTCCTCACCATGGTGGTCTCCATGAAGCAGCAATCAAGAGCTTTAAGTACCATTTCAGAAGAATTGTTTCCAACCACTTGCTAACGTATGATGAGGCTCAAACTATTGTAACTCAAATTGAGGCCATATTAAACTCAAGGCCACTAACTCCACTGTCATCAAATCCAAATGATCTATCAGTCCTGACTCCTGGGCACTTCATAATTGGTAGACCATTGACCAGCTTTCTTAGTAATGCTAACTCTGCGTCACTGTCAGACACGGAATTAGTCAAGAAGTATTCTCAGCTCGGAAGAACATTACAATCATTTTGGAACCGATGGTCAACAGAATACTTGCAAAAATTGCAAGTTTTTCCAAAATGGTACAAGAAAGAGAAACGTATAATGCCTGGATCCCTTGTGCTAGTCAAGGTCAAGAACTTGCCCCCGCTGTGTTGGCCGTTTGCCAGAGTCCATAAAGTGCATCCAGGAAAAGATGGGATACCACGAGTGGTAACGCTTCGCACAAGCCAAGGAGACATGATTAGAGGAATAACGGAACGATGTGTCGTTCCTACTTTTGAGGATACCTCAAAGGGGGGAGTGTGTTGAAACAGATGCTATGCTAAATGGTCTCCGTGGCGACCACTTTTTCTCTTCATCTTAACCTAATATATATGGAAAAAGAAAGTCCTGCTTGTATGATTCTTCCAGCCATAATTTATCCTTAAAAAGGTATTATTAATAAAAATGTGTTAATTTATCTATAATATTGTTGACCTTTTTTCTGAGCTCAACAGAAGCTATCATGATTTTGTGTTACATTCGTAACATACGCCCATCATTAGCAATCGGACACAAAATTCCGTATGAAGAATGGCACGGAAAGAAGTTAACAGAAGAAGAAGTGAACCACCTCAAGGTTTTTGGATGCCTTGCGTGGGCAAGAAAATTACAATCAGGCGGAAAATTTTTATCAAAAGCAGAAAGGTGGGAGGACACTTTTAGCCCAGTCATCCGAAGACGAACCATTAGAGTTTTAATTGCCATCAGTGTCGAAAATAACTGTAGGTAAAATTCATCACACAGATGTCACGAGTGCATATCTGAACAGTCCCATCCCTGATCACCTCGATATCTACATGGAGCAACCCGAACTTTACGAAGACCCAAAAAGAAGAAGATATGGCTTCGTGTGCAAACTCAATAAAAGCATTTATGGGTTTCCGAATTCTGGAAAGGACTGGTACTCATGCGCAAGAAGTATACTGCTTGCTCTAGGATTTTTTCAGTGTATTAGTGACCCATGCATGTTTTTTAAAGAAGGAATAATTATTGGAGTTTATGTCGATGATATTCTGGCAATGGGGAAAGAAGACGAAGTGAAGAAGTTTAAAGAAGAATTAAGGAAACATGTACCGATCAGAGATCTCGGTGAAGCAAGGAATGTTTGGTCATTTCAAATAGGGTATACAGAAAATGGGGTTACGATAAGCCAAACCCCATAGGTACACCATGAAAATACTCGAAGAATCCCAATCGGAAATTTGACCTTGGGCAGATCGGAATAATATTGTGGCAACCTTAGCGAGATTGTGAGCACATTTCAACAGTAAGGTTGGCCTGAGAATCTTGGTACAATATACCATCAATACTGGATGTATAACCTTAGTATTTTAATATTGCACCAATGTTAGCAACATTAGAAATCCAACATCAGGTGGTGCTCGGTGATTCCAAGATTGTGACAATGTTGTCACAATATTGGTTATACAATATTGGTAAACTAATACTGTCGTAGATATATGTTTTCAATATTGCAGTAATATGTTAGTTTTAACATTGGCAAATTATTAAAAAAAATACTGAACATAGGCCTCTGCTTATAATATTGACACAATATTGACACAATATTAGGAAAACAAAATTGCTAAAATAATATCGAGACGATGTTATCTCTGTGATACTGCGGTATTGTTATTATGTTAACATTCAATTAACGTTAGAACAACAAACATAACAGGCTTCTGTTCGTAATATCGTCATAATATTGACACAATATTGGATATCTAAAACTGCTGAATTGATATTATGCTAACATTAGTTTTACAACATTGTGGTAATATTCGCACTTTAACATTGTCACAAGATTAAGAAAATAAACATTTTAGGCTTCCTTTTCTAATATTGTCATAAGATTAACACAATATTGTGCGCGGCGAGCACAATTCGACCGCGTTTGCTATTTCCGCCACCAGGGCGCGCTTGCCGCGGATCTGCCGTTGCGGTCCCTTTAAGGGCAAATTAAAGGGCAAAAACTGCGACCTTTCGCTTTTTGACGTAATAGGCACATGATCCATAGGCGTCTAACCCATCTTACCGATATTCTTAGGCCAAGGGCTCAAATGGAGCTTTTTGGCAACGGTCTGCGCGCGGCCGCCCCGTCAATGGGGCTGGTTCTCGTTTCGCCTGGCCAGTGCCCGTTACAAGTGGGATCCATGTTGAATATTTCAGCCAGTACAAGCAGCCAAGAAATTAGCTGACTTAGGAAGGTTCCTCGGCACTCCAATGTTCCGCATGCCAACACTAGGCTTTGCGACGCTAAGAAATTTTTTCCGCGAGGACGGCAGGTAATACAGCGTTCTATCGCATACCTTGCCTTAGAGGTAGGATTGGAAATCCAGGCTTGTCTCAGAGGTAAAATAAATATCCTGCCAATACTATGGCAATATTTAAACATCAAGTCTATGGCATCATCATGATCATAATATCCACTGAACAAGCTTGGAGCAATATTATTAACATAACATTGTCCCAATATTGAATATCCAAGTTTGTCTCGGAAGTAAAATAATGTCCCACCAATATTGTGGCAATATTGTCAGGATAGGCTTGGAGCAGTCTTACTAACCTAACCTTGGCACAATCTTTGGGCTCAAGCTTGTCCCAGAGGTAAAATAAATGTCCTGCTAACATTGTGGGAACATTAGCAAGATAAGCTTGGCAACTCTATTCAAATGTGAAAAAATGTCATACTAAGCTTGTACCAAGGTCAAATTTCCGATTGGGATACTGCATGCACAAGTGCAGGCCCTGCGTAACACCACTACCTGTTGAAGAAGATGAGTCGCAGATGGAGCAGTTCGACTCTACACTTTATCGCAGTGCAGTAGGAAGCGTACTCTATTTGTCGAATAACACAAGGCCCGATGTAACATTTGCTGTACATAAGCTGAGTCGACATATGGGTGATTTCACGATAACAGGAATAGTTAAAATGTGAAATACCTTAGAAATAAAAGTGCACCAATTTTAACAGGATTTCATTACCTCATTTTAAAGGTATTAAACTTCCTTTTTCCAGCTTTGGCACGCTCTATTTTGATTCAGTGCAAAGTTAAAGTGATTGATAAACAAGCCATTGAATCAGGTATCAGCGCTTCCCGCGGGACTGCTGGAGGTCCACGCAAACATGGCGGCCCTGCCAAATTGTGTCGGTTACGTAACAGACCCAGCGTAACCGACACTCAAAAATGTGAGATTAAAGATGATACAAAAGATGAAACTTGGCAATTCTTGAGTTATAAGGTGGAATTAATGCTGCCTTAAAAGTTTTCTAAACTTTGGAGACTTCCTTTTAGTTTAATACTATTAAATTGAGGTGTTTGCGTAGTGAGGAATTAGTGCTACACACGTAAAAATCACTGGTTTTCATAATAATTAAAGTTTTCATTGTAAAAAAAACTGACTTATTAGTAATAGTTTTGTCAGGAAGACTTCAGCAAACAATTTGATGGCAGTTTTGAAACTCCTGACTCCATCTGGCGAGATAAACACTGCACTTTATACAACTGCAAAAATTTGTTGCCAAATGTGGCGACACCTCTTTCTTACGACTTTTCTCGCTCAATAATAAACATTTCAGTTCAAACTGGCAATTTTCTTGAACACTAGAGTCTCTTTTCAGCAAATATTGCCATAGAGTTCATGATCAGTACTGATTTGTTACCGCAAATTGCTCTTTTGCTTCAAAATCGGGGTTGGCGACGCGTAACCGACCGGACATTTTCGGCCTTTTAAGTCTCATATTATTAAATATAATAATAATTCATCATATTTTTTAGCATGGATAGGTTCAGGGACATCATTCCTATTGATTAATTAATTTGGTTTTCAATCGTTTTGCCCTATGTCGTTCAAAACCCACGGCGACACGACTATTCCTATTATCGTGAAATCACCCATATAATCAAGACCCAACAACCAGTAATTGGAAATCCATGAAACATCTACTACGCTATTTGAAGGGGGCGGCTGATCTGAAACTTTCGTACCGCAGGACTGGAAAGCCGATTCAAGTTTACTGTGACTCAGATTTTGCAAACTGCGAAGACCGTCGTTCTATCGGTGGTTTTGTTATAAATCTTGCCGGAGCTGCAGTTATTTGGCAAAGCAGGAAGCAAACTGGTATCGCTAGATCAACCGTTGAAGCCGAGTATGCATGTAGCAGTGGCTGAAGTTGTCAGCGAGTTGAAATGGTTAAGAAACTTCTTATCCGAAATCCATCAAAGCAAGTTTTTATCAAGACCATGCACCATTCTCGCAGACAGTGCTGGAGCCATTACTGTTAGTGAAAGCCCTCTTTTAACTGAGAGGACGAAGCACATTGACTTGCAGTACCATATTTGCAAAGAGTATGTAAGCAAAGGTTTAGTTTAATTTAATTATGTTCCTTCAAGAGAAAATGTAGCGAACATCTTTACTAAAATCTTAAGCGGTCCTAAGACCAAAGAATTTGTAAATGACCTAGGGTTAAGTAACTAAATAACTAACCATCTTTAATTTTTTGTAACTCTGAAAGGATATTTTTTTCTAGTTAGTTTGAAAATTTAATATTTTGTTAAAGAAATTCACTTTGCAATTTCATTATTGTTTAAGTTTCATGATTTTTTAGTTAGGTGAAATTTTTGTATTTTTTGTTTAAGAGGGTTATGGATAACTTTGCAGTAAATTTGAAGTTAAATAAGCATCTGTCAAGGGGAATTTCTGGTTAAATATCAAAATCAGTGACGGACCCTTAATTTACTCACAATCATCATGTAATTAACAATCACTGCTCTATTCCATGTTATAGTTTCTGTAACTAAGAGCACTCAGCTCTGACTTGAAATTTATGGAAATTTTTTCTCTTATTTCTCTTTCCATTATTTTTAGTCTTACAAACTGAAGCAGTGGACTGAATTATGTATCATAAATCTTAACTTGTTTTGCGCCAATACTCTTAATTTAAAACAAAGCTTAAATTGTTTGAGCAGTTTGTGTGACAACAACTTAAGCAGGAAATATCCTTCATGAGAGAAGGTATGTTCTCTAGAACTAAAAAAAAAAAACTAATATTTGTCAAGGGGAAGTGTTGATTATGATGCCAAACATTAGACTTCATCCAGCAAGTTGGTATTATGTCAAACTTATAGTTTTCTTTTGCTGCAGCCCTGTCATGCTAGCAAAACAACCCTGTGATTGATCGCCTACTTTTTCCCTCCTTCTCTTTGTCTAAATTTTTTAGGTTATATTTTTGATATCCTTTTCTGTGAGAATGTCTTAGCTCGTGATTCAGAAGAAGTTAATAAATCATTGCGCTATTTAAATAATGTTTACTCATGTATTTAAAGACTCTGAC